AAGCTCACAAAACATTAGTAAAAAGTGGCTTTTAAACTCCCTAGTAAGTCTTTTACAGAGGCAATAACTAACTTGAGCAACAAAGTCAAGATTTTAAATATGTTTGGGAATAAGCCAATGCCAGGGGCTTTTCTTGATAACTGCCAGCAAAAGGCTGCAGGGAAAGGAAGGCTCCGGGAATTGTACCCGGGCTTCAGAGGATTACAATAAGGTATTCTCCTTACCTGGCATCTCTGGGTGAGAAATCAGGAGTTTGAACCTTTTCCTGAGAAGGGATAAATCACTCTATTCCAGTAGTGTGAGGTAAAAATATCCAGCCATCCCAGAGTACTTCCCCTGGCTTAGGACTTTTGGTCTTGATAAGCTGGATGATACAAATGCTCAGGAAGAGGTGGGTGCCCATTGAACTGTCATCAGTCATTTATTCCTGAGTGTGAATTAGCCTGTGAGACAAGTTCCGAAAATAGTATGAGATGGCAGGAAGTGTGAAGAGAGGATCTGGGCACTGAGGGGTGGAGAAAGACAAACCAGGTGCAGAAGATGAACTCCACCTAGCTCTTCTATTTACAGTAGATTTTTACATAACCGTCAGTAGGCAAGAATGGCTTTTATTTTTCGTCTATAGATTGGTGCCTCCTTTTCTTTTCTAATCAAGGTGGTCACCAGCTGTCAAATGGCTGCAGGATGTTGGAGCTTGTCAGACTCTTTCTAATAATACCATCTATTTATAGAATACTGCCAGCTAATGGGGCAAACCTCTAATGCTGGCTGATATTCTAGAAAATTGGTCTTCTGTCCTTGCCACACCCTCCCCTGTTCCTGCCTGAATTCTGAGCCCCCATCTCCTGGGGCCAAAGCACCTCTGTGGGGCCCACTTCCAATCTTACCTCTGCTTTCTCTGGGATTTGGCAGGAGTACCCCCTGGCTTGGTCTTCAGCTCTTTGGCTTCCCTACGTCTGCAATCTCCCCAAATCTCCTGTTATCTGAAGACAGATTACCCTTTTAGCCTCTGGCCCTGTGGACCCCACTCTGCTTGGACTCCTGGAACCACCTCCTAATCTCCATTCTCACATCTGGCCCTTACAGCACATTCTATGGACAACAGCCAGCATGGTCTTCTTAAAACCTAAATCAAGGCATGTTATCAACCTGGCTTGAACCTCCTCCGTACCTTCTCATCACTCTTGGAATGAATTCCAGTCTCTCTATTACGACCTAGAAGCCCTACATAATCTGGCTGAGTCTCCTTCTCCAGCCTTGTGGGGCCTCACTTTCCCCTGCTCGTGGCCCACTGCCTGTTCTCGAGAGTACCATGCTTTGTTCTGTCTTAGGAGTGTGCATGTGTTTGTGCCTCAACCTGAAATTCTCTCCTTCCCCTCACTTCCAACTTTTTCCACGATTTGATTCCTTTTCATCCTTCAGGTCCTAGATTAAATGTCACCTCCTAAGAGAGAGGTTTTCTGACCACCCAATCTCAAATAATTTGTAATGACACTATTTGTAATTATCAAGTTGCTTGTTCAGTGGTTTCCAATCTGTTCTCTTATCTGAGTTGTTCACCCCTATGTCCCCAGCTTGGCATACTTTAGAGGCTTCTATCAGTCAGAGCAGGCTAAGCTACGTGGCGGTAACAAACAACTTCCACAGTTGGTAACAAACAACACACAGTTAAGTGCCTTTGAACCACAAAGGTTTGTTTCTCAGTCATGCTGTATGTCCATCACAGATTGGCAGTGGGAGCTGCGTTTCAGTCCAGGCTGATGGAGCAGCCATATTCCAAACATTGCCAATAGCTGTACTGTAAAGTAAAGATGAGGGCTCTGGGGGGTTTTGCATTGGCAAATAAATTCTTCAGCCCCAAAATGATTTATGTGTCACTTTCACTCACAAGTCATTGGTTAGGGCTAGTCACATAGCCTCACCCAACCACAGGTTGCTAGGAAGTTCAATCCTATCCAGGGACCAGGAAAAAGAAGTAGAAATACTTGTCAAACAGCACTAAAGAGTCACATAATAATACTCAGTAAATACTTTTAAAGGAGGGTATGTTTACAGTGTTCTTTCTACAACTGCAGTGGGTTAGAAGAACCTTTCAGGGTCCTACTGGGGATTTTGTATTCCTGCTGCTCAAGCCTCTGGCTCTGCCAGGAGTCAGAGTTTCCTCAGGAGTAGTTCAGCAGACAAGCGTATCCCCTGAAATATGACAAGAGTAATCCCAGAGCAGCTTGGGCTGGTGGTCTCCCAGTACTCTTCCCTTGCTGGGACATGTTTCTGGGCTGGTGTGCTCTGTGACAGCCCCTCCAAAAGGATCCTGCCATTACCCTCTGAATCTACCATGCTCAACTAAGGCCTGGCATGTCCAGGAGCTAACAGGCGATCCTCCTGGTGGAATCCCAGTGGAGTCCCTCAGAGTACTAGGGCTGAAGTGGGAAGGGAGGTGGTTGGGGGAAGGAGGCAGAGAATGAGTATAGCGTTTCTCAAAAAGCCCAATGTGTCCTGCATGACATTCCTTTGCTAATACAAAGGAATGGCAGTTACACAGCCTGGGAAAGGTTAGAAAACCTCCTATGATTGCTGTGGGTCCTGGGTATGTGGGGAGAGGAAAATCCTGGTCTGTCCATGCCCGATCCTACTCCCAGAATTATTCATTTCATTTGGGCAGGCTGCTAAACTTGCATTTGAAAAAATGCATCACCATAGCAGAGCCATTCCACCAGGCTGCACACAGCATTGGTTGCACTGTGGTGGTGTCACATTCTCAGATAACACAGTCTTGGGAGGAAACACTGTCCCTAGGTTGGTTAGAGCACACTTGAGTGTACATCTTGGACTCTGGTGGCAATCACAACTAAAGTTTACTTTTGCTGAGCACTCACCAAGTCCCTAGCACTGTACTGAGAGGTTCATATGTAATTTCACTTAAACTTAACACCGGTGGTTTGGAGATAATACTACTATTGGGCAGCTGGCGAAACTGAGGCCCACAGAAGTTAAGTAACTTCCTAAATAAGTAACTGCTAGTTATATGGTATAGCCCTCTTTTGAACCTGTGTTTCTTTTTTATTCTAAACCTGTGCACTTAATTGTTACTTTATAGGAAAAGGTTTGGACGTTATTCCCATTCTATATTTATAAATACTAGAGCTTCCTTTCAGAGAAGCCTCCTACCCTTTTTCTTTTACAGTATCTAGCAGAGTTTCTGTCATATAATAAGCATGTAATAAATAGAAGTCTTTATATAATGTGTATGAGAAGGGTAAAAACAGAATGTTTAAGAGAGTACACTAATAGAGAAGATATTCTTCTGGTTACATGTTTTTGTTACGCCTGTTACTTAAGACTAAGGTAAAGTTTCGGTGTTTTTTGATAATAGCTGTTGGAGGGTCTGATCTGTTAGTTGCATATACATAGCAATCTAATCAAGGCACAAAGCCTCTCACATTGTACACATGTATCATAACGTAAAATGATAAGTAATGGAAGAATTAATTACACGGTGCTCGCTGCTGTGGATATCAAATTGGAAAAGATAGTTTCCATCCCTAGAGAATACAGAGGTGGACATTTGAACAATTGAGGTACAGTGTGAAACAACAAAGTTTGTGTAGGGACCACAAATCTTGCAAAGGCGGGAGTGGTAGTGGCTTTGGGGGAGGATTCAATTCTAGGAGGGAGTGGTTAGTTAGGAAAAATCAACCCAGGGTGAAGCCCTATTTAGATAGAAAATTACAAGTTCCTGGGCTTTGGAGGACGATGACGGGCAGGTTGTGGGAGAAAAACCTGTTGGTCTTAAGCTTGCCCACTACACTTCCTGCCTCAAGGTTATGGCTGAGTTAGAATTTTGGCCTTTGTATGTGATCTGGTTCAAGTTATTCCTAGGCACTGAACAAGTAACTATATTACTTCTAATAGTCAAACAAGTCGTGGCGGCAGGCGGGGAGGTCCCGTCTCAGAAGCACTTGGCCAGCCTCTGGAGAGCCGCCTGCACCCTTCACACCCGCGCGCCTAATCGCATTTTTCCTTGGTTTGTCTACGTTAGACCTGTCCTTCCCTTTTGCTCTCCACTACTTTGGCCTCGCCCTGAGCTAATCCACGATGGGAGGGCCTGCAACCGGTCCGCCCACCCACGCCCGGACTCCTCTGACCAGCTCCAGCCTTCACTGCCGCAGAAGTCACGTGCGGCGTGTCCGGCCTCCCAAAGGAGGAAACGGAGATGGGTGGGGCAGGCGTGTGGAGCCCGCCCCTTTAGCCTGAGGCTGCTTCTCATTGGTGAAACCTCCCAGCGAAGCTTGGAAGCTCCGCTTTGAATTGGGTAATATGCTCTCGATGAGCGTGGCCTCTAGGGGGAAGGCGGGGGCAGAAGGGAGGGCGCGCTCTCGAGAGGCTGGGTTGCCTAGGCGACGCCGGGGGCGCGCTAGGGGGGGTAGGGAAGCGAGCCAGGGCCGCTCAATGACAAATCGGCGGGGGAAGGCTGGGGTCCGGCCCCCGTAGGAGGCGAAGGAGAGGGCGGGGAGGCCTTGAGAGCTGCGGGTGGGGTGCGGACAGCCGAGGCGGCGGGGGAAGGTCCCAGGTAAGAGTACCGGCGTTTGGCAGGACCCCTCCGGGCAGGGTGGGGCTCGCGCTGGGAAGTGGGGTGCGCCGCCCTGCGTCGGGTGCCCTCCTGCCCCCCGCGCTCTCCGCGTTGGGCTGTGGCCGGCCGCCGGAGGTGTTAAGCCCCAAGCCGGGGGCGGGCCACGCGGGATTAGTGGCCCCTCTCGGCCCCGCTGGGTTTTGTGGAGAAAGCCTCCGGGCCCCACAGACAGGCTTGGGGCTTAGGAAATGGGGGCGGCGCCCCAGCCTCTCCCTTTTTGCTTCTCTTCCCCTTTCCCACAAATGACCTCTGCTTCCACTTCCTTCCCTTTCAGGCCTCTAGCCCGAGGAGAGTCCACTTCCTCAGTCCCTTAGTTGACGCTGTGGGCAGGGTAAGAGCTGGTTAAGGGTTGCAAAAACTTAGTACCTGAAGAACTTGGACTGAACCGATGCCATGCTCCAAAAGTTATTTGGTCTGATTGTTTTTGGTCCTGTGTTGCAAATGAGAGTGAAGTTGCTTCTTTGCCCCGCCCCGCCTTAATTCTTTTCTAGTAGGGGCTGGCACTGAATGTGACTTCTGATAGGAAGCACCGTGGACTTGAACTGTTTGCCTGCACCAGACTTCAACATCTCTCTTCTTGCCCTCTCATACGTATATGAGGTTGTCCGCGGGCTGGTTGGGAACTAGTGGCAGAGATCGCTGCGCCCAGACTGCTTGCTTGTTTGAGCAGTGTCCTTTCTGAGCCAGTTTTCAGGTGAATACTGGAAGCATTGGCACTTTCAGGTGAGTCTTCTGAGAAGTTCTTGTGTCTGGTGGACTGACTTAGAACTGCCAACGGAAGAGACTTGGCTGGTTGTTAATTTGAGTTATCTGTCACTTGATTTCAGCCCTTGTAGAACAGTGAATTTTCTGCTTTGTCCCAGTTTCCTAACCTCATTTCTTTTTATGAAGTTTTGGGGTTGTATAGTGGGCACAGATTATGAAAGGGGATGGCTTATCTTTTTTATGTGTCAATGACTCATGTTCTAAATAGAGCAACAAGGCTCTTGGATGTCAAAGCTGGAAACAGGTTGAGGCAATATTCGTTAAGCCAGGAGCAACAGAATTAGAATATCGAAGTTCTGAGAATGGCGTAACCAGGAAAGGTATCATTGACTATGGGGAAGAACAGGAGGGTAGGGTGTGAAGACCGAAGTTTGATGCTGGTCCTGAAACTTGATGGGTGTGATGTTGAGCAGGCTTTTCAACTGTCTGTGTTGCAGAGGCCACAGCTGTGACAAGGTGGTGGCAGTTATCCTCCTTCTTAGGATTAAAGGAACTAAGGAATGTTTGAGGTGTTCTTTGTGGTGGTGGGGATAAGGGCTGGGATACACATCCCTGGTGTGTGGTTTTAGTTGTCAGCTCTTCTTCTGACCCCATCTGGGTCCTCACTCCCTTTTCTGTTCATGTATTCCCCAATTAAAAACTGTGGATACTCTTCTCTGAGATCTCAGCAGGATTTCCCTATGCCCAAAGAGTAGAACCTTTCCCAGGATTTTGTGTGGAAAAGTAGGGGTATAAGTTATTAGCTATCTTTTGGCAATATGAGAGCTAAACATATAAAGATTGGAAAAAAAGAATTAGAGCCTTAAATGGGATCTCAGTGGGTCTTGGTAGACTGTGGAAGAAGTGGAAAAGTTCTAAATTCTTGCCTTAATTCTTCAAGGTTCTTGCCTTGGCTGAAGATGGCTTGAGACTCGGTGGGAAGCTTTAAACCAGAGAGTTGACATAATCCGTTGTACCACATCACCCAGTCCCACAGTACCTTTTTACATTCAGTTACAAAATTCTTACCCCATTCATTGAATTTATGAAAGTTAGAAACCTCAGTGGAGACCTTTTCTGAAAGCTAAATTTGGAGATAAAAAAACAACCTAGAACTACAGTGTTGGAAGAGATCTTGGTGAACTCCTCTAACGTTTCCAGTGTAACTTGTCTCAGGATGATATGCAAGAGCTCCACTTTTCATTGACTCTAATTATTTCTATACAGCCTCTGCTGTTAGATATGCAAGACACTTGTTTTTTTTTTTTTTTAAGTGAATGCATATTGAGAAGTCTAAATCAAAGAGAACTGAGTACCAGAGAACCCTAATCATGTCGAGGAGTGTGGGTAAGGAGGAGGAGGGAAAATACTTATTGACCATCAGCTGTTGCTTGGCACAGACCACTGATCTAACCAATACCTGATAAATACCTGGCTTGGAGATTTGACCATGAGCTTTAACTCCTTTAGCTCCTCAGTTGTCTTGGTTACCTAGGAATACGAATACAGGTTTGTATGTGTACATAATTTTAGATGTTCCAAAAAGAAGACAGGCCAGTAGGCAAGAGAGTGTTTGAGCTTTTGGGTGGGTGAGAGTGGAAAGAAAGATGAAGAGAATGTGGAAGCTGAGTGTCAAAGAGGGAGGGTATTTGCGGTTACCACGGTAACTGCAAAACACCCACCAGGGATCAGTTTCAAGGTTATGTTACTCTAAAAAAAAGTGCTAATAGTTTTCCTGAGTGTTCTCTCTTACCATTGTAGATTAATCTTTTGGGAGTTTTTCCTTTTTAAAAAGTTGAAATCTAATTGTCAAAAAAGGCGCAATTAACTGAAACTTGCTTTTGTCAGTGCTTTGTGGGCAACTTGCGTTGAGTATATTTTAGGACCATTAGATTGGGAAATGACATAGGAAATATTCAGTTAGGCCTGACCCAAATTAAGTATTCCAGACTATATAATTTTACATAGTGTATAGCATGAGTTAAAGGAAATACAGCAATTTGGTCCTGTGTGGCTGGCTCCCTGTAAAGTTTGTCTGTCTTTTGAATAAATTTTTTACTGCTGTGTGGTAAGTTACCCCAAACTTAGAAGCTTTAAAAAACAGACATTTATTCTCTCACACATTTCTGAAACTCCAGACTCTGAGAGCTGGTTGGCAGGGTGCTTAGGGCTCAGATATCTCCTGAGGTTGTAGTTATCTGACAACTTAACTGGGGTTGGAGAATGCTGGTTTCAAAGTACCTCAGGAGTGTCGGTGTGATCTGAATTTGGGTCCTATATGTGGAGGGCAAGGACAGACCAAAGGAAGGGAAGGCTGTTCTAGATTGGTGGGTGGCAGGTTTCATAAGCAAGGGAACTTACATAGGAGGCTGGTCTTGGGTGGCCTCAAGATGAGTAGATCTCCATACTTCCTGCAGAATCTTTATATGGAGGCCTTAACTGGGTTCAGTCACAGATATGTCCAGATGGTCTCAATACCACATCAGTATCTCAAGGCTGTGTCATTGGGGTAGCTTCTGGGAGTGGGGGAGACACACAGAGTGACAGTCCAAGGACAAGGGAGAGGTGTGCGGAGTCTCTGGTTGCTGGGGTCCAGCTCGTGGGTTACCTGGTGGTCATGCCTCTCCATGACCTCCCCCAGCAGAGAATCTGCTTCCAAGAAGGCTCACTCACATGGCTTTTGACTGGAAGCTTCAGTTCCTCACCATGTAGGCCTCTCCACTGGACTCCTAACAACATGGCAGCTAACTTGCTATTTAGGTCAAGTGATAAGAAAGAGAAAGAGAGAGAGGGAAAGAGGGAGGGAAGGGAATAGCAGGGAGAGAAGAGGACAGTCAAAATGGAAATTGAATCTTGATATCTAATTTTGGAAGTGACATACCTTCACTTCTACTGGCACATAGACCAAACCTAGTACAATGTGTAGTGTGGGTGGGGCCACACAAGGGGAGCTGAGGACCATTGGCATTCTTGGAGGCTAGCTACCACAGTCTCTTTTTGTCTAGACCAGACATTATTGAGGAAATCTTTGTTCCATATGCTTGCAAAAGTAGTACTTTAGGAAATTAAAATGCATCTGGAGTTTTTACCATTCAAGAAACTTTTAATATTGTACTAAAAATTTTATGTTCTTTCTAATGGTTCTTCCTTGTCAGATGCTAGAATTAATTAGTCAAATATGCAGTACCTTTGGAAATTAGAGATTTAAGTCTTACTGGTCCCTAAACCAAATGGAGCAGCTGAGGTTTTTTTAAAACCCTGAAACAAATTGGTAAAAAATTATTGCCAAAATGACATCTTTGATGAACAGCTTAAAGTTAGTCATTAATTATCTGTGTATTTAAAAAATAACTCACTGGCAAAGTGGCCAAAAAATCTTTTAGAACCTAAACCCTATGCTTGTCCCCCAGTGTTTTTAAATCTTTGGGCAAAAGTTATTTGCCTAGCAGGTTTTCATTTCTCTTTTGAAACCCTAGTACATTTTAATTATGCACCTAGATAGAAGGGCTTTATTTTTTTAGCTTCTAGATGAAATCTTTCTGAAGTGTCTATAGGTGGAGAGAAGTGTTTGGGAATCCTAAGCCTGAAGCCTGATTAAATGACCTCTAAGTTTCCTTCATCTCTAAAAATTCTATGATTCTATTATTTTTATGTAACAAACATCTTTTGAATCAAGCATATTTCTAACAAGAGTTTCATAAATCATGTTAAATTATAACTTCAGAAAATGAGGTCTTCTGGGAATTGCTTTTGTTCATCCCAGATCTGTGGAAGGTGTTTTGAGTCACCATTCGGCAGACTGGAAAAGTCAGCACAATTTCTTACTTCCTTTCTTCCTGTTTTTGGCTCTTTTCCCATTTGCTGCCCTAATTTATGAGCTAGTATCATTCTTTTCTTTTATCCTGCCTTCCCTTCATCCCCCTCCTTCCTTCCACTCCTTTCCACCAGTGAAACAGGAAAGGACTGGTGGACAGTCATTTATTCTGGATTAGCCGATCCTATTATTAGGAATGGATTTTAGCCAGTGTGATACCTCTAGTCATCCTTGCATATTAAGCTTTTCTTAACCTCAAATTGTATCTGTTTATTCAGTAAGTTCTGCAACCTTTTAACTCATAGAAGGGTTCTACACCTAATTCCAGAGTGTGTATGTGTGTGTGTGTGTGTGTGTGTGTGTGTGTGTGTGTGTTTCCCCCACATCACCAAACAATTCTCTGATACCAGAAAGGTGTCCTACAATAATTCTGCTCAGTTCTGACACTATCTACCTGGGGACAGCATTAGATGCCACAAGTTAAACGCTTAGTCCTATAAGATGATCCCCACTTCAGATGCCAGTCACAAGCCCAAGTTGCCCCTTGTGCTTCTGACCAACGAGCTACAGATTGGAGGTTCCCATGACCCCCTCCTTGCATTGCAGACTCCAGTCGCAAGTCCACGTTGTTACCTGTACTTCTGACAAACTGGCTGTAAATCATAGGTTCTCACAACACCCTGCTTGGGTTTGATTAATTTGCTAGAGGAGCTCACAAAACTCAGGAAACACATTTGCTTGCTGATAATAAATGAGTAGTCTAGTGAGCAAAGATATAAAGATATAAGGATATTAAGGATATAAGGGTATAAAAGCTATAAAGGATATGAATCAACAGCCAGATGAAGAGATACATAAGGCGAGGTCCTGAACAGAGGAGTTTTCTATCCTCATGGAGTTTGAGGTCCTGCCTTGTGGCACGTGGAAGTATTCTGGTTCCCCAACCGGGGACCTCTCTGAACCACTTCTTTTGGGTTTTTATGGAGGTTTCATTACACAGGCATGATTGATTAAATCATTGGCCATTGGTGACTGATTCAACCTCAAGGCCCCTCTCCACTCCCCAGAAATCAGGGGGTGGTACTGAAAGTTCTGACCCTCTAGGTTGATTCCCCTGGCAGCCAGCCCCCATCCTCAGGTGCTTTCTAAAAGTCACTTCATTAGT